TTAATAATAATAATAATAATAATAATAATAATAATAATAATAATAATAATAATAATAATAATAATGATGATGATGATGATGATAATAAAAAAATCGTTAACATCATCACCACGTATTACGATAATAATTCTTTTTTTTTCCACGTAAATCATTATTATCTCGAAAATAAACCCCTGAATCATCAGAATAGATCGTCGTTCTTCTTCTTCTTCTTACCGTTGATAAAAAATTGTATTATTGTTTTATCTGATTTTTTAATATCATAGAAATCTCTTTGATTGTAATCGTATACGAAAAGAAAATAATCCGATTCGCGAAACACTCGCATATAACAGGTGATGTTTTATCAAACAATCAGAGATTTGTTTCTATAAATATTTTATATCATATGATTTTTGTTCAATGAGTTTTGTCCATTGTGATATGTACTTTAATTAACAAAATCATTATTTATTTATGGTAAAAAGAAAAAAAAGGTATTATCGTTTCAAAATACAACAACAAATTTGTTTCCCCTCCACCACCACCACCACCCCCAAATCCCGATGAAACTCGTTTTTTTTTAACTTTAATATTTATTTTTATTTAAGATTGTGAAAACAATTAATTTGTATGTTGTATTTTAAATAATAAGATATTATTTATTTGATATTCTTTAGTATTTTTAAAAGTATTTTTAAAAGACTAATCCCATTTATCTAATACAACTAATTGTATGTTGTATTTTAAATAATAACATATTATTTATTTGATATACTTTGGTATTTTTAAAAGTATTATTAAAAGACTAATCCCATTTATCTTATACAACTGTAAAACAGATGTATCATAACTATTATTATATATGTATATATATATATAAAGAACTTATGTACGATATAATCGCGAATATTAAAGTGTTATTACAAAATATGTCGACTCTTATTTTAATATTTCTATCGAGTAATTAAAAATAATAATCGAATAAATAATAACGATAAATCGTTTCAATTTTTTTTTTATGTTTTATCCCTCTATTTCTTCCTATCTATTTTTTATTCGCATATAAAAAAACAAAAAAACAAAGTCAACAGCAGCAGTAGCATTAGTTAAATGAAATATTGATAATCGCGTAATTAATAAAAAATAATATCTCGAGTAAGATATAATTTTTAAAAATCCTTAACACGCGCGATTATTATTTTAATAATTTATTTTCAATCGTATAATGAGATATAATTATTTATTATTAGATTAATATTA